TTTCATATATAATAAGAATTACATCAGCGAATAAAACTATAATGCAATCAATATCATTCATTGATTGTGATTAATAAAAAATATATATCTATTTAGTTATAATCCATACTTAATACAAATAAGTTTATTTTAATTTGTCATTTTAATATTTTAAATTTTTATATTTTTATCTACTCGGTATTTAAGTACTTGTTTAAAAAATTTGTTAAAAATTATACATTTAGAGGATAACTCATGTCCCTATTATGGTATTTATGGTAATTTAAACCGTAATTATGTTATTTATTCATGCTTCCATGGTTTTATTTAGGACTAAGTTGGGAGTAAATCTTATCGTAGATGGCCGCCCGGGCAGGGTGTTAAAAAACTTTGGCCACCTAAATAAAAAAATTGGGCGACGAGGCGAAAGGTTCTGGTGGGATCTTAGAAATTCTTTTTAATCGTCTGTGGGATCTTGTCATTTTAAAAACTTTAGCCGCACTCCTGAAACGCCTCACAAAATGCCGCAAACTTTCGTTACTCTGCTGCGGGAAAATGATTTCTTCCGCACCCGACTCGTAAGTGTTTCAGCAAAATCTTATTACGTAGTTAGATTTTTAACTATTTTTTGATTTCTTCCGGATTAGATTTTTAACTATTGTTCTATATCTTCACATTACTCCCTAGCGCATCCCTGAATTGGTTGCAGGCAGCATGGAGAACTTGAACGAGTTGATGATAGTGACGGGTCCAGACCCTACTATCATGAGAGTCACCATCTCCCGCATATCTTCTGCTACTTTTTTGAGAGACGGTTGGACGACCATCGTAGAATTATACCATATAATGTCGGGATTTATCCTGCATTTCCAATACCATATTGGTAACATGTATTTCCTCACGATGTTTGCTCTCCACGGTGCACAGATCCTTCCTGGCTTTTTTTCAAGCGAAGATGAAGACAGTGAAAATTCAATGTAATTTGTATTGATTAAACTTGTTAGATCTTTGAATAATTGGATGACTTAAATGTATTTTTGTCGGTATTAAGTTTGAATATTTTTTTTATCTCAAGCTATTTTCTACAAAATTTGTTCGTCGACCAAACTTGTTCTTAGACCCTATGTCGACGACAACCATTAATAAACTTGGTCGACCAAACCAAAAAAAAGTAAATAGTAAATAGTATTAATAAACGGTGGATGATCTTATTATTTACGAGTAAAATATTATTTTCTTGGGACAATAAATAGTAGTTGAAAAGAATTGATGTGACCGAGTAGGATATATCGAACGGTGGATCTTATCTCCGTAATTATGATGATGGCCCACACATCTTAAAATATTGCTCAGTAAAGTTATCGGTCCAAAATTATCTCTTGCTCAGTAAAATTATTGTGGGCATGCATTTTGATATTACAACTATGCCATTGGTAACTACATTAATCACGTTCGACCGAACTAGTTATTAGAGCTGTTATTGAGATTAGTTTGGTCGACCTAGCCCATTAATAAACTAAGTCGACCTTTTAATAAGAGTCGCATTGATTTCCATTTGATGTTTTTTCAAATGCTATAAATAGTTTCTATGATTGACCAAACCTAATATTAGAGGAGGTCGACCGAAACCAAAATAATTAAATCTAAGCATATGTCGATTTTGAAATATTATTTCCCTATAGTTTTTTTACAGAATTTTGCATACAAAATATATTATGTTCTTCATTTATATTCTTATAACAATATTCTTATAACAATTCTTTAATTATTTTCAAAAAATTTCCAATTGTAATAATGGGACAGTAAATAGTAATTGAAAAGATTTGATGTGACTGAGGCACGTTATATCGAACGGTGGATAAAGGCCCTTCTTATAATCTCCGTAAAAATAATTCTTGGGATATGCATTTCCCTGCATGCTTTTAAACTACCCAAATTCAATGCCAAACCGTTCAAAGTCATTGCACCAAGAACCGTTCAATGCCAAAGCCTTCTTTCACCAAGAACCAATGGTTATCCCCCTATAAATTCTAAGTCATTGCACAATCCTATTCTCCAATCCGGTTATCTATTGTTAAAATTTCTCACCTTTCTATCATAATGGATTGGGAGTTATGGTTCTTTCATTTACGTGGTTCTTTAGTAAAGAGCATAATGGATTTATCGAATTAATAAAAGGAGCATAATGGATTTCTCGCGATCCATTATGCCCCTTTTGCCATTCTCCCACCGCCTTAACCTGAAACACATTGCTTTTGGATCAGGAATAAGTCTACCAGAAACAATGTGTTTTCTTCCCGTAAACTTGTTTTGGGGCGGAGAAATGTGCGTCAATTGCTACTGGCTCTTGGGGGGGTTATGGAGGAACGAGGCGGCACAACGAGTACAGAGCTGACATAGCGGAGGCTCTGAGCTCAAGTGGTGAGTCCAAGAATGTGCTCCTCACTACGAAGATCAGTGTTAGATTATGTTATTACAGTCCATCTGTATTATAAGCACCCTGGGTTGACTCCTGGTTTATTAACCGACACAAGAAGAAGGATCAACTAGTACAGACCTGACATGGAGAGGCTTTGAGCTCAAGTGGCGAGTTAAAGAATGCATTTCACACCACGGTGACCAGAAGTCTATACATTTTGTGATGGACACACATAACGAGTTCCATTTGTGCTTTTATGGTTTTCATATTCCTGCCGAATGTTAAACAATGTACAACAAAGTTAATTTCTATTTTGTTTCTTTAATTCATTTATATGATCATCTTTAGTTTATTGGATTCAAGGTTGTTCTCAGATACTCCCGTCGATTGTTAAACAATTTGATACCACAAGACTCGTGTCGAATGTTAAATTTCATCACTTAATAATAAAACATTACAATAATTGATACAATAATTAAAAACAAAGTTTTAAAAGTTTACAAAGCGGGAAATTTATTCTGATCTTAATTCAACCCATTCCTCATCACTCTTCGTCACTCATATCAGAGGAAGCTCCAGAATCGAGGTCGCTCACTGATAATCCTAGGATTTTTGCCAAAGCTTCCACCCTCTCTTCCAAATTCTGCATGATTTCCATCCAACTTTGAGACCCGTTTTGGAGTTCTATTTCTTCGGTCTCCAGTACCCCGAGCTTTTTCTCTAGATCTTTCACTCTCTCCTTCCATGACTGAATTTTTTTCTCAATGTTTTTTGGGACATCATTTGCATTGTTTTCCATATCGAAATTTGTTTGAGATGCGGGTGTATTTTGATTTTAATGTTTCCGAATATATAAGCGTAAGAAACGCTTCACTCTCAACCAGCATTAACATCCCGTGAACTTGGTCAAAGTTTGGGAAATGTGCAAATTTGAAGTTAATGCTGCATGTGAATAGGAAAAGAAATACTCCGTAGTAAACACATAACTTATTAAATTATTATTATTATTATTATTATTATTATTATTATTATTATTATTATTATTAAAGTTAAATATGCTTTTAGTCGCTGTAAAATATTTGGTCACTGTAAAATATTTTTTCTTCAAAACACCCTTAAAACATTTTTAATTTTGATAATGGTCCTTGTACAAAATTAAAATGTTAATGCTGCATGTGATTTTTTAAATATGTCAACCTATTATAATGTCGACATATGTGGTCAACCTATTATTAAGCAACGTTTCCAGCATCGTTTTATATTATAATGTCGACATTTTTAAATAGGAGGAAGAAACGTTGATCTTTCAATCAACGTTTTTGGAATTGTGCGGATTTGGAGTTAATGCATGTGAATTTTTAATTATGTCAACCTATTATATGTCGACCTATTATAATGTCGACATATTAAATGTCGACATATTAATAAGCATTGTTTCCATACTTGACGATGTCGTTTTATATTTGGTATCAGTTAGTATTTTTAAATTACAAAATGAGAAAAATACGTAATTTGGAAACGATGCGTCGATTCAAACTTTTCTCAGTTTTCTGGCGTATTGGAAAATGTGCCAATTAAAAAAATTGAATTACACAAGGAGAAAAACAGTAATTACGAAATGACGCCTAAGCTTATCCGTCGATGGTGTCGTTTCATTTATGGGCTGGATACTATAAATTTGAGAATCGCCGGCTAGGGTTTCATCTGTAAAAAGGTTTATTCTCATCCATTTGTAAAGATCTGTAGAATGACGAGTTTTTGTGTTATCCTCTCCAAAGATCTTGGTTTCAGGGAAAGATTGGTTTGTGATTTCATTCATTTTCTTGTTTTTCTTTTACTTGCTTTTAAATTATGTTATGTCTAATTCACTCAATCTTTTAATGATTCAGAGGATCCCACATTACGTTAATATGATTGTCGATGGGCCAGAGTACGCTGATGGCAATGTCATCAGGATTTTTTCCTCGCTTTCCTCAGACCCTTTTGAAGTGAAAATTCATGTATGTGAGCAAGGAAACCTCTTTTTTCGTGAGGGCTGGGCTAGAATAGTTGAGACCCATAATGTGGAGGAGACTCATTTTCTTTATTTTCATTATGTAACGGACTTTGATTATAATATCAAAGTTTTTGGTGAAAATGGACGTGCGGTGGAATATTAATATTGCCACCGAACAATAATATGTACTCCGTAATATTTTTATTTTAATGAACTATTTCCGTTGTTCTTTCAGGCTCTCAATTAGGTTAAAGGCTCATAATGGATTTCTCAATTAGGTAAAAGGCTCATAATAGATTTCTCGGGATCCGTTGTTGACCTTTTTCCGGGAATGAAGTTAACAGTTAGATCTTCTCTCAGGAAGTATCAAAAGATCATAAAGGATAGATTAGCAGACCCTGAGGCGTTGGCATTTTTCAGAGAAAGTCACCCAGAAGGCTTATAAAGAAGTAATGAAACTTGACTACTTATAATGCTTGTTTTATAAGCTTATAAAGATCCATTTTTTCTTTACAAGCCTTATTGGTGACTTTATCTAAAAAAATTCCAACGCTCCAGGGTCTGCTAATCCATCCTTTATGATCTTTTGATACTCCATGAGAGAAGATCTAACTGTTAACTTCATTCCCGGATAAGATCTAACTGTTAACTATTTGAACATTTTTTGAAATTTTATTTTTCCAGAGACACATTCTCGGAAGTGCTGGATTTGTTTGCTCCCTCTTCACTCCAAATGTCTCTCCATAATCATTAATACACTCAAATAGGAGAAACTGCATGCACCAATAAATGATGCCCAATTTAACCAATGAAATTATAGGAACTTTTAATACCAATTTAAAATAATTTACTCACGGATGAGGGGAGGAGAAAGCCAGTGTAGCAGAGGGTGTTGGATGTTTTCCTGCCTTTGACAAGCTTCTTCGTTTCTGAAACTAAGTCCTTCCCCAAAGATTGGATACGGAGGGACTCCAAGAATGCCCATGTCCCCCAGGATCCATTTTTGAACTGGGGCATCTTTCTTAGCATGACCAATCAAAACGAGGACAACAAACATCAATGTCGCCACCTTCACTATCCACTGGAGTGCATACTCTTTCTTCCCTTCATCGTCAAGTAGCCGGCACAATTTTGAGAACCTCTCGACAATAGAAGTGTAACATACCACACTCTTTGACCAGTTTTCTTCAACGAAAACACGCAGTGAATCCTTATCATACTTCTCTTCATATCCGGATTCTAGTTCTGAACATTTGAGTCCAGTAATCAAGGAAATGCCATTAGAGAGTATCTAATGGGAACTCCATTTACTACCAACCACATTTCAGAACCTTTTTCTCCTTCCACATTAGTCTCTCTAACCATCAACTGCCATAACATGGCTGGAGGGGGAACAAGTTGGACATCAAGGAAAGCACCAAAAGGAGAATCTCTCCTAAACACTTCTAGGATTTCCATATGATCGCACAACTTTTCTTTCATCAATTTTTGGAAGTCTTGCAGTGAAGACTTCACAGTCAGCTTCATATGTGGAAAGTCCTTTGAATTTACCTTCGTCTTTATCGCCGGAAACTATATAACGGCATATAATGTCAACGAATTTCATACAGAATGACATGCAATTAGTGCGACCAGTTGGTCGACACTTATTTTAGTCGATCGATGGAGTCGACCAGACTAAAAATTCATAAACCATTATCCAGGGGTTATTTGGAGAGAGAATAATTCATTTATAATCAAGTTTCAGACCTCGAATGTTCCTTGTGTGGCCTTTGGGCTACCGCTGTGCTCTGTCATTGTCTCTTCCACATGATACTCATCGTTTCCATTCTTGGAGTAAGACACAGAAGCATTCTTCGTCCTCATTGTAGAAATTCAAGGTTTTCCAAGATCGGTGACTTTGGATGGGTAGGGTTTCGATCAACTTTTGCAGGTGTCAAAGAGGGGGGATAGAGCACACACAGATCGAAAATTCAATGGTCGCACGATGAAGGAAGATGTTTATGGAGGGTTTTTGTTTAGTCTCTTCCGACGTCGTTTCGCACATTCTCGGATTTTTTTATTTAAATTTAAACTTGAAACACCGTTTACGCTTCGTTAAATGACATAACTTTTCATTTTCTAAGAAGCGCGTCGGTCATACACGCCTGGACATTTCCATCAATTCACCTTTACAGGGTAGTCCACCAAATACGAAACATTTACAGGGCATTTTGATAAAAACTTCAGACAAAATATTGGGAAATGAAATTTGTACACCAAAAATTATACCCCGAAGGCATGCACCAATATTTTATGCTAGTGTGATGCTAATGTGATGTTTTACAATGACACAAAATATCATTGCAATTTTTTTTGATTGAATTAACATTTTGTGTCAGTTTAAATCGTTAAAATCCCGGTGTATCCCTTTGGGATACAATTTGGGGTGTACTTCTTGGGGTGCCCCTAGCATGGTTGAAATATTTTTGAAAATACTATGGGTTCTATAAAGCTTGATGATCGAAGTTTTTTTGAAATAATTTTTTTAAATTCGCAATCACAGTTACTTTTTGGTAGAAAAAATGTAATTAGATTTGAATTCTAATTCCAAATATTAAAATTTAAAATTCAAATTTTAAAATTTAGAATTTAAAATTTAAAATTTAAAGAAGAAACCACTTTTTACACGAGTGTAAGTTCCATTTGGGTTAAATGGGTTCTCTTTGAGAGTTTGAGTTTATTAAATAAAAGAGCTGTGCTAAGGGAACCAAATAATTTCACACTTTGTTAAAAAAAAGATTTCCACGCTATCTTTATACGGAGTACGTAGTATTAAATTTCTCACAAATACATAGAGACAACAACATTTGTTCACACGCACATAACATTTTAAATTATGTCAAGTTCTTGGAGTTTCCCTAACATTTTTGTAAATAAATCAAAAAAGTAAAAGAATTATTTTTTTGTGATTTTTGTAAGGAATTAGGAAACCCGAACAAATCTTGGAAGAAATTACAATTAGGTGATAGAAACGGAAAAAAGTTAAAAATAATTGAAATACCCGAGTAAATATTACTCCGTATATTTTTAAATTTCACATTTTTAATAAATTAAAGGAAAAATTCACAACAATATTCTAACAAATTTCTCATTTTACAAGAATACTCCAAAAATTAATTATTTACACCATTACTCCAAAAATTGTTCTCTTTTGACAAAAACACTCCACCCACCACGTCACTTGCGCAATAAAATTGTGTAATATGTAAATACGAGTAGATTTTAAAAGTGATGATTTGAAAAACATACATTTTTTGGTTTTCATAAAAATAAATAAATTATTTCTTCCTCAACTCAAATATCAATCACGTCTTTCACAATTAGGGCATGCCATTTTCGGTTGGAATTCTAAAGTTGAATGTTGGAAGAAATGTAAAGAGTTAGAAAAAGTTGGAAGTTAACTTTCCTACACAAAAGAACAAACTTTTAAGCTAGGAGATAGATATTTGAGTTGGAGGAAGAATAAGTGATTTATTTTCGGGGTCGGTTCGGTATTTGTTTGCCCTAACCCAACCTATTAGTACAAGGCCTTTTGAGAGGTGCTCAAAAACAAATTCATGAGAGTTTGGCTTAACAGACAATATCATACTAATGCAAGTGACTAGGTAAAAGGTATGCACCTCCAACAAAACTCATCTATGTTGCCCACAAATAATTGTAGTAGAGGACCTGCTGGGATACAATGGTCCATTAGTCTTGCAAAGAGGATGGCATTGGAAACACTACACTATGGTGTCCAGTTATATCATATTAATGAGGATCCCTAGATGTTGGAAGCTTAAGGAACTTGAAATGCTCTTACTAGAAGAGATTGTGGAAACAATGACAGCCATCCCCATACCATTGCTTGAAAGACCATCCAGGCGACAAAAGGTACCTTTCTGTTTTTTTTTTGGGGGGNGAAAATTGAACCGCAGCGGGTCAAATTAGCCGATTCCGTGCTAGTCCGGCGGTAAAAATTTGGACCGGTCTCTGGTCTTAGAATTGAGAACCAGTATAGTTCCGATCCAAAACTAGAAGGTTTCCAGACCATACTGGTAAAACCGAAATGTGTTTACTCTTTGAATTTTTTCTCCTTAGACTAGTTATACTTGATTATAAATAAAATTTAGATTTATATAAAAAACTTCAAGTAGAATGTTTGAGCTTAGATATTTAGATACTTTATATGCAACTTGTACTTGGTAAGATAGAAATGTATTAAAGTGCAACTTTATCAATACTTTTGAAACCTGACAAATTAACGAAACTATGAAATTCATTTTAAATGTATCATTTTGTTGGTGAAATATTTGTATGTTGTTAGGGTATTATTTTTTAAACACAATCAACGAATAGAAAAAAATAAAAAGTTAAATCAAGCTAGGTCGTAAAAAACGAGTTGAAATAATCAGAGAAAAAATTTAAAAAAAGACAAGTTTTTCTGGTCTAAAACCGGATTAGACCTGAAATCTAGCCTTTACCCGATTCCGGTTTTCCAAGTTTTGGTCCAGTCCGGTCGAATTTTGGATCAGTGTTCACTGCAGATCCACCTACCGAAAGACCGGTATGACAATGAGTTTTATACCATATTGCCTAACATGTATATAGCTCAATTCGTGGGGTGAATTTCACTAAGCCTTTGGTATACTGAATTCAAACTATGTAATTGGAATTGGAGACAACAATTTCAATTTTGCTGTTTAATATCACAAAAATATGTGGATTTGGAATTGGTAGTGCCAAAAATGTATTGGAATTGGAGAATTCAATTCCATTGAATTTAAACTCTCAATTCAATTCCAATAACATGAATTCCGTGTACCAAACGGACCCTAAATTTGTTGATATATAGTATGGCAGAATGGTTAAATGAGCTTATTGCTCTCAAGTCACTCCACAATCTAAAAATATCTCTAAACCTGACAATTAAAAAATCAAAGCAAATGAAGTCTCGAGTCGACAAATCCACTAGCTGGTAATGAAAGAAAAACCACTATTTTATCCTGAAAATATAAGGAAGTTTTCTCCATTCATCAGTAACAAACTTACTACATAAAGTCATTAAATTTGGATGCAAATTACCGAGAACAAATATAGCCTAACCCTTGTCAGCACCACTTAAGATCAAGAGTCAAGACAAGTATTACTAAGAGAAATAGTATACAGATACATATATAATTAGAAGAGCTGATAGAATAGCAGATATGAAAGTAATAGCTGATATAATTTCTGTATGATCTTTGTCTCCACAAGGTATTTCCCACACAAGATCAACTTCTTCAGGTTCAGCAGTGTGGTAGTCTAATGGAAACAAACATTTCTCCCCCACTTTTCTTTCAGTGCTATACCGCACGAATAAATCCGGAGGGCTAAACATAACTCTTGAAAAGCCGTGCCCTAGTGGCTGAGATTAATAACAATATTACAAATGACTAAGTATCAAGTTTCTTTTAGCAAGGCATTGAGATTTCATTTACATACTTCTGTATCACCAATAAATTTCACTTTCTATTCATGTTTTTTTAAATTAAGTTTTCTTTTTAAAAGTTACCGTTTCATGACATTTATTTCACTCATTTTACCCTTTGGGTTGTTTGATTGGGACTAGAGTAAATACGAGAACAAGCAGAAGGGACTCACATAGGTCCATCTTTTAATAGTTAACTACTTAATGGGGGCACTACTCCATTTATAAAAATTAAGATCTATTGAAGCATATGTATAGATATCATTGGTGATATATGAATCTTTTCATGAAGTACCTGATAACGGGCATGCAGTGGAAGCTCAACTTTGAATTCTATTTCACCCTCGTGCATTGATAATAACTTAGAGCCCATATCAAAGTGAACCTCAATTAGTGACCGATTGGAGCGAAAAGAAGGCAACTCTAAATTTGTGTCTCCAAATACACCTGCTTCCTTAAACGCTGCATAATGGATGACAAATTAGTTACACGGCTTAGATAAAACATGATAAAAAAAAATGGGCTTGTTATTTACCACCACGTTGCACCAAACGTTCCAGTTCAAATGAATCCCCAAAGAGTCCAGATGGTAATCTCTCAATGATTATAGCTTCGCATTGATATTTGGAGTTGCACTCGAGCAAAATCTTCAATCTGATTGACAGCAATAACCGACGATGTGAACCTTCACCAATCAGTTTCTGATCTAAAGACACAATCTTCAACCCAACTTCACCCTCTTTCGCCAATTCACATGATCCGTAGACAACTTCATGGGCAACAAAATGTTCAAATGCTGAATCTGTCAAGGTATTATGCTTCTCAAAGTATGACTGTGAAATGTATTTTTCATGAGGAGTAACCACCTAGAATGATGGCAAATAAAGCTTTAAGGCTCTGTTTCACAAAACTAAATGAAAAATGGCAAAACCCACTTCAACTATTGACCAAATCTTGGAACGAAGCAACTTTATGAATCAGATATTACAACAACTGCATAAATAACAAAAACCCACTTCAGAATTGAACCAGTATGATGACTACTAACCTTATAGAGACATGAAACTCTGCTGAAAAGTAGTACCACCAATGTGATGTTTAAAATAAAGGAATGCCTGGAAAGATCCAGAATTCTCATTGCACATCTAAACTGATAGAAAAGGAATAATCTCAAGAATACTGTGCTTCATCGGAAAGCCAGAGGGTTAACACAGATCCCCGGAGAAGACATGATGTGGGTGTTGGCCAACACCAAGAACTTTCAAAGATTGGAGGGATACAGTTTTCTTGAGTACATTTTGGAAAGATTTCAGTCTAAATTCTATCACCAAACGATCCCTGCAAATTCCGATAGATACATTTACTCATACAAAACCAATGGCTTAGCTCCAAAGTGCGAATATCTACCAATCTAAAATGTAGAGAATGAATTACCAATGCAATAGTAGGCGATGCCGGATTGGCGGAGGAGTGGCGACGGCGCGCTCCGTCTCATAGTCATTTGGACGGGACAAGAGATAAACAATAAGCCCAGTTATGAGGACAAGTCGGGCTTGAGCAAAAAAAACATTTAAGTCTACTTCAAATTCGGCCCAGACCAACAATTGGCTAATAGGAAAAACTAGAAAACACCTCATAAGAGCAGAAGAAAAAAAATTTGCCAAAGACTCTGTGGTTCTCCCTAGGGGTGTGCATTATTCGGTCCGGACCCGGACCGACCCAAAACCCGACCAAAACCGGACCGGACCGGTCCTTATTCGGTCCGGTCTCCGGTCCTCAATATTTCCTTATTCGGGTTCCGGTCTGGTCCACCGGGTTTCGGTCCGGACCGGTGGACCGGTTATATATTTTTTTTAAATATTTTTTCTATATAGTTTTATAATATTGTATTTTTTAAAGATATTTTCTTATACTTAAAAACTAATTTAACTCTAATACTAAAAGTTTTTCAAATACATTGATTTTATTATTTTATATAATTTTTTAAATTTGTTTTCAATTCAAAATAAGATACTAATTCTAATGATATTTTTAAATATTTAAACGTAACCTTTATATCAACGATCTAATGCATTTAAAATTTATGTACTAATACTATAGCTTAAATTTGTACTTTATCAATAATGAAACTCTAATCAGCAAAAATAAACATTATAAACAATGTCATTAATAAAAATAGTAAAAAAATGTATCCATTTGCCAAAATAAATCGAAAACTCAAAAAATATATTACAAAAAAGCAAAAATGCAGTAATAAGAAGAATATTTCCTATGTAAAATAAAAATTACGAACAAATTTTATGTAATACGGATGGAAGATATGTATTTTTTTTAAAGTTTTTGAAAAAAAACAACAGTGTTCGACAATGTTTAGTATATGTTACAATTAAAAAGTAGTTGTAGTAATATTTTTATTCAATTGAATACTTTAAATTAAATAAATAAAAATTAAATTTTTTTAAAAAAAATTAAAAATAACATTTATCCGGTCTGGTCCCGGTCCGGTCTGGGTTTTACCGGTCCGGTCCTGGTCCGATCCTTAGCTTAACCGGTCCGGTCCTCGGTCCACCAAATGTCCCTTATTCAGTCCCGGTCCGGTCCCGGTCCGGGCCGGTCCGGTCCGGTCCGGGCCGGTCCGGTCCGGTCCGGGTGTGACCCGATGAACACCCCTAGTTCTCCCCACAAAAATATACTCACTTTGTCCTTTCTAAGAAGTGGAATTTACATATATGGTACTAAAACATAATGAGTAGTCAACAGTTAACAGCCAACTGGAGGTTTCCAAACGCGGCCAATGTCTGTGTTGTTTGTGTTGTATTGGTGTATAAATGAGATATACCATTTTTGTGTACCCCTAGCTTTATTCTTTCGGTCTAGCATTGCCTTAATTTTTTCCCTTCGGTGACTCCAGGTTTGATTCTCAAGGGTGGAAACTCAGGCTCTGTTTGGTAAACGGAATTCAAGCTATAAAATTGAAATTGGAGACTAAAATTTTAATTTTCGTGTTTGGTAACATAGAAAAATACTCCGTATGTGATTTGGAATTGGTAATGCAAAAAATAATTTGGAATTTGAGAATTCAATTCCATCGAATTCAATTCCATAGAATTCTAATTCTAGTTTAGTTGTAATTAGGTCAATTACTTATACAAAATGGATCCTTTTTTCTATTTCTCTATTTGTTACCTTAAAGCCAATCATTATTGGGAACGAAAAAAACCCTGGAAGATGATTAATGATTATTTATATCATCACAGAGTTTATTTTGATTTATAAAATATTAAAGAAATAGCGTGAAAAAAAATTGAACCAATTGTATTCATCCACCTCATTTGTAAATGTACAATACTTTCATGAAACATGTCATTATCATACGGAGTATCAATTAAATATTCTACCTTATGTCCTTATGTAATAAAATCATTGTAATGCACAAAAGATTTAAAAAATTAATTCTGGCTTTAATTTGTTCCTTATGAAATCTCAGTTTGAATTGCAGCGCGAAAATATTTTTCTCCGTTTACATAGAGTTAATTTTGTTGTGCTAATAATGAGACTCTATCAATAAGATATTTAAATTGTACCACAAGAATAATAAAAAATAGATCCGCTGTAGCACTGGCTTAAAATTCAAGGTATGAATGAACAAGTTCCTTTGGGGACTCCGGGTTCAAATCCCGGCAGCGGAATAATTTTTTTTCATGTTCATTTATTTGTTACATTAAATCTAGAAGAAAATTAATGCTAATTTACAAGTTTGTTTTTGTTCCTATTATTTTTTTGGTTTAACTCATGAACTCATCCTTACAAAAACTCTTAATTTGAAAATAGCCCCTAAATGTAATTAAATAATTCGTATTCATATTAACAAACATATTTCACATCGGTGAAACATACATTGTTAGAACACTTAGAGAGTGAATAGTAACAGAAATTTGTATTTAGAATGGATTTTAAATTCTAGTTTGGAAATTTATAAATTTTAAATTTTAAGGTAATTTTCAGAATAAAATCTGAAAACAGTCCTAACAACAGTCCTATTGGTGAGTAAGCTATCCAATTCAGTTCAGATCCGCCTAGGAATACTAGGTGGCCAATTTCCAACAGAGTTCACAAGTGACTATAAGCACTTAAACATTTTCCATAAACAGAACAACACAATCAGCGGCATATCGGGAGAATCACTTGTCACTGATTATCGTCATGCTCAAACAACAAGATTAAACCCAACAATATTTATTAACTTACCTGTGTCGCGAACTCGGAACTAAGGACTTCATCCTCAGGCCCGTTACACCCGCCGGAACAGTACCATTTACAACCGGATCAGCCCGACAACCCGTCGGATTGACCCGGCAACCCCGACCCGCTGCCCATTTGGGCAGCCCAGTACAGCCAGCCCATAGAGCCGGCCCAACAGCCCGAATAGCTGGCCCGGGCAGCCCCACAAACCGGCCCGGGCATCCCCACCAACCGGCCCAAACAGCCCGAGCGAACCCATTCGTGCCCAAACGAACCCAAGTTAACCCGTTTGCACAAGAACTAATCGAATTGGAACCCAGACAGACCCAATTGAACCCAATTGCACAAGAATTAACCCAATTGGACCCGAATTGACCCAATTGAACCAATTGGGTCCAAATCGAACCAATTGGGTCCAAATTGGACCCGCCGGATCTGTCCCATACGTCGACTGTAGCCACAGTCGGCCAACCGCCGGCGTGACACGAGAAATAGCCCCAATAAAACCCCCAATTCAATCAATTCAACACATAATCAACCAAAACTTCCACAATCAAAAGCAAGATTCATACAAACAAGATTCTAATATACGAATTAACGCTAACGATAGATATTTGGGCAATGAATCACCTCAAATTGAAGGAATCAAACTCGGGTTGGAGGAGGGGGGATTCGCCGCTGCAACCCGTCGGCTGACCCCAGCACACCGGCGGAAAGAGAGAGAGACGGAGGTGGTCGACGGCGACGTCCTGGCGCAGCTGCGGCTGCTGGCTGACGAACGACGAATGGAAACTGACTAACTGAGCATGGGAGTCGATGGGAAAACGAACAGGAAAGAGAGAGACGTGCTTTTTGTATACTTTCTTTAATTTTTAATTAATTATACTATACTCCTATGATTGTGGTTAGGTTAGTCACCAATAGGATTTTGAATACATTCTCTCTCACTTTTAGAGAGAGAAAGTAGCCGTTCCTTTTGCCATCGCGTGTGCTTCCACATCTCCGACGCCGCTCCGTCGCCACTTTCTTTCCGGCTCCTCCAACCCTTTAGGTTAGTTTTCCTCACTCCGTTCTCCAATGTCTTTACAGTCTTCGGTCGTGAGTCTCCGCATCCGAGCACGACGGCCAGGGCTCCACCCGAGACTCCGATCAAGGGAGTGACTCCCGCTCGCCCTCTCTCAAGGAGATAGTGGCGGTCGAGCTCCCGATCCAGCCTGAGCCCCACCACCAGAGGCAAATGGCTATGGAGGACTCGGGCATTCATGCGCAAAAGTGCACCCTAAAAGGCGAGGCGCCTTGCCTCATCTCCGGGCGTAATCGTGCGACTCGCCTCTTTGGGCTTCTTTGCCATCCACCTCAAATCTCTCGAGTATGAATTTCGCTTCCTCCTTCATCAGTTGGTCATCGATTTCTTACTTCACTTCGACCTCCTCCCATGCCAAGTAGTCCCTAAGTCGCACCGCTACTTGTTCGGCTTTCTCATCCATTTTCAACAAACCGGCTGGCGAAGTCTTCTGGCCGCGCAGAATCGTACTCGGGCTTCTACGCTGCCCTCTTCCAAAAGCAGGAGAAGCTCTTCAAGACCAAGAAGGATTCTGCTAAGAGCTGGAAGGGGAAGTTCATATTGTTTCCCCTCCCTCGGGCTCTCCCTTCCGGAAGGAAGCGCACAGCTCATTTTGTCGCCGTACCGCGCCCGTCACTTTGAATAGGATGGTCGAGGACACAGAGAAAATCTGCCAAGGGGTTCCCTACGACCTCGCCTCATTGGTGACCAACAAGGCACTGGCCGCGCTCGGTTACACCGTCCTGCCTCCAGAAGATATCTAACGGAGCATCGAGGAAGGTCTTTCAGGTCAGCGCGATCCCTTCACTCAGCCATCCGCGGCCGCGGCTAATGCGGTCCTTTTATATAATTCATCGTCCCTTTTTCTTTTCTTCTTCTTCTTTTTAAGTGCTTGCCCCACCGTCGATTGTTTATGTAGGGGAAATGTCGCTCTCGGCCTCGGACAGGTTTCAGCTCATGCTCCGAGGGACCTAGAGCAAAAGCTCTAACGCCCCTCCTACCTCGGGCGCTCTCCCCCTACTCCACCTGTCAACCTGGCCTCTAGTGGGGCGCATAAGGCGGAGAAGCGGAAGGAGGCGCCTTCGACCTCGGCCACCCCGAGGGGATCCGAGTCCCCTCACATGACGGACTTCGGGCATCCTTCCCGAGTCCAGGTGGCCTTTCCTCCTCTGCCTTCCTTCTTGAGGGGGGAATATGAGCCGGAACCTTTCCCGCGGAGCTTCACTCCTCCTCCAGACCGTGAAGTTCTCCGTGATGCTGATAGCAAAGTCGTAACCTCGACTTCCCTTCCGGATTTGTGCTCGGTAAGTCTTTTCTTGCACAACCCCACGAATATATCACTTAGTGTTGCGTGGTTTTCTCATCCCTTTGACTTATCTGCAGGCGGTGATGCGCTTCGCCGAGGTGAGCCAGCGGCTACGGCTCAGCGAAGAGGATAGGGCCAAGGCCCATGCTAAGATGGCGACCTTCCATGAGAAGATGGTTGCTGCCATAGTTTGTAAGGCGTCGCCTAGGCGTCACCTAGGCGATAAGGCGCTATCACTGGGACGCCTTGTCTGCTCGCCTCTCCTAGAAAACCATAAGGCGACCTGGCGCTCGCCTAGGCGTCGCCTTACCTCGCCTTAATTTGCCTTAACTCGCCTTAATGCCTTGGGCCACTTTAAAATTTTGAAAAAAACCCATTTTTAAGTGCAGCCCATTTTCTTTTAGTGTAGCCTAATAGACTTAAAATTATCTTCTCTCTCTCGGTCTTTTCTATCAAGCTTCCTTAAAATGTATAAGACCTATATATACATATATAAATACATACATACATATATATACACACACACACACACACATATATATATACACACACACACATATAGGTATGTATGTCGCCTAGGCACGCGCCTAGTCGCCTAGGCGATATGAAGGTACATTGGCGCTTTGCCTCGCCTTACCGCCTTACAAACTATGGTTGCTGCCGAGGAGTGTGCTCGCCAAGCCGAGGAGCGCGCCCGAGCTACGGAAGAGCAGGTCAAGGAGGCGGCTCGCAAGGCCTACCAGGAGGGCCGCAATCGAGCTGTGGGGGAGTTCCTGGAATCGCCCACCTTCTAAGAGGAGGCCTTCGCCCGCATGAAGGATCTTCTTAAGTCCTGGGAGAAGACGGGTGAAGGGCTAGAGTTCTCACACTCCGAGGGGACCTCCTACTACAACCTTGGTTTGTTCCGGGCTAAGCAGGTCCTGCTGGAGAGGTTCACTGTGGGTGAGGATCTCCCCGATCCATGCGACAACCCCGAAGAGTTTGACCCGTAGATGTATTATCCGGGGGGCGAAGACACAGCCGACGACCTTGGGGGGAATTAACGCTTCCCTCAATGACTTTGTATTATTTTATTTTCAATGTAACCCTTCATCTTGTGCGGATTTGATTTGTCTTTTAATGCTTTCATATTTTCGTACGTACATGCTCGTTCATCCCCTGTCTCTGCCTTGGCTCGACAGTGGCCTTGGGACTTGGTCCCTTTTTACCAACTCGTTAATCGAGGCAATCTTGGGACTTGGTGTCTTTTACTAATCGTTGAGTTTGGCTAATCCCGCACTGCCACAATTAGGGCATAATTTATCATAAAATTTAAGATCTCTAATCTCTTCTATAATTAATCATATTTAATGACTTCATACTACACTATTATTTTCTTACGTTCCATATTATAAAATGTGTGTAAATAAATGTTTCACAAGCAACACCGCATATCAACTTCTTATAGATTAAAATCTCAATTTTATATATAAAGGATTAATTATAAACATATTTGATCCTTTCCTATGAGAATACTTTTAAATAAAAATAGATTAGTATCAAAATTTTGTTTTATGAGTATGCACCTAGTTAAAACTTGATTAATAAAAAATGTTAGTCTAGAAATGGTTAGTGATAATACTACTTTTATTTCTCACTAATAATTTTGCTACAACATAATAAACTTTATCATATCATAATTATATTATACGGAGTATTTAATTACTTTCCTTTAATAATTTTATTCTGGACAATATTATATTTAATTTTAACAAGTTTTATTCTATAATACAATTTGTTTTATCATATCATCACAAATAAATAAATGAATTCATTTCCAATAAAAAATATAAATACTCAACTGATGTCGCGATGTAATGAATTCTTTATTTGTCCTAAACATTTTACGCAAAAGTTTCTGAACTTTGAAACTATTATGAACATATTTCATCCATATATATGAAAATAATTTTAAATATAAGTTTATCATTATTATAATTTTATTTTAAAATAGAAAAGGAATGTCAATTCACCATTTATAAAATTTGTCACATAAGCAAGTAATAAAGGTGTGTCATCTCACTTTAATATATTCTATATAGACTTGACACATGTTAGTTTTATAGCAGCAAAATGAGTCTCAAATATTATACTCCCTCCGTCGCAGAGTATTTGTCCACTTTCATTTTACACACCATCCAATGCACTTCTTTAGTCCATTTTATCTTGTAATTTTTATATTAAAAAATTATAGAAATTATATATTAATAATCTATATGTTAAGACAAATCAAACAAGATCACACATGACTATATTTAGGCTTACACATTATGAGAATTTGATGAGTCAAAGTGCTTAGATGAACAGTTCTAAAAGTCAAAAGTGGACAAAGAGAGTAAGACGGAGGTAGTACTCGTATTAGTATTACTCCCTCCGTATATGATATGATTGATTTTTTTTTTTTTCCAGCTAGAGAACCCATTCAAGTGTTCAACGCAAATGGAACTTTCACTCGGATAGAAAGTGGTTTTCATTTTCTCCAGGGGTACACATTTTTGGCGGGACAAAAAGAGAAGAGGGGAGGGAGAATGAGCTCGTCGGCTGCGGTAGAGCCAGATGGCACCACTCCCTATCTCGTCTGCCGGATGGACAACGTCCAAGGCGTCGTCGACGCCCTCACCTCCGTCCGCTGGAAGCGCTATCAGGTTCGCCATTTGATCTCACCCACTCTCTGCTCCTCCATAAATTTACCGCTCGTTTGCTCAAATTACTGTATTTATTTTGCTTGTACCTTTGTATTTGATGTGTTCAAGCATGGGCTTTATTGGGGTTGTTATTGTTGTATGCTCAAATTGTGGGGGGACTCTGTTAGTGTTACTGATAATTTTTACAATTAGGATGCTGTCATCGAGATATCGGAGCACGGCTTGGTGTTGATCGTGGAGGAAACCCGATGTCTTCAGGGCAAAGTTTATTTGCAACGCGAGGTGTAGTATTTATTCATCAGTCATCATCACCTAGAGATTATGTGAAAATTTTCTCCGAATCAACTCGTATTCTTCATCATTTCATTTCATTTTAGTAGTTTTAGTATGTGATTTAAGCATGTGATGTTCGTTCTTGCAGCTGTTCAGTCAATATGAATACCGTGCGGAACGGAGACCTAGATTCGGAATGAGCTTAGGTCTATTTGTGGATTGTCTCAGTACATTTTCGGTCCCCGGAAAATCAAGTGCAATTGAACTTCGGTTTCCAGGGCCTGATATGGAGCTTCTTCTCAAGTAGGTTTCCGTGCAAGGTTTCTAAGTTTGCTCGATCTAGAATTGGTATTCTAAAGAAACTCACGGTCTTCTATGGTGCTAAGAGTTTCTTGGGAATATCTTGATTTTTGTTATGAGTATTGAGTAAAACGAAACATTGAATATGCCTTGTTTATAGATTTGCAAATGTTGGATATGGATTGTTATGTAGTACAGCAGTAAGTAAAGATATTAACCATGAAGTATTTAGAAACATCTGTGAGCGGAGAAAACCTGGGATTAATAGTAGTGAGATAAAATTCCAACACCTACGTGCTTATACGAAGATGAAACTCCGTCAACTCAGAAAGGGTTAGCTTCACCTTCATAGAAGTAAAATTATTATTGAAGGAACACAGATGACATACTGCAGATACCTAAATATTGTCCTAATTGGGTTGCCTGTATCTTACTTACATATGAGCTGTTTATTATACATGTGGGCAAGACTCCTCTCATATCAGGCTGTGTCAGTAAGTGCCACTTCTTCCTCTGCAAGCGTGTGTAGTTTTGATATTCCAAACACTACTTCCGGGCACATTTTCTATGCTGCAATTGTCCTTTTTATTTTTCCATTTTATACTTTATTTTCATTTTTTTTTATTTTGTTGGAGAGAGGAGATTCATCAAGTCCCTTACTCCCTTAGAAGAACATCATAGCTTGGGTAGAATTTTGGGCTACCTCCATATGTCATTCGCATGACATTAATTTTTAAAATGTTTACAGATCAGTTGATTCATCTAATGCTTGCATTTATGCGGAGATCAGAACAAGGATTCCTGAGACAATGCCATGGGACTGCAACTTTGAACCTACAGGAAGTACACCTATTAGTTTTACCGTCAAGGTAAACTTTCCTCTTGAAATTAGAAAATGTGTGAATTAGAAGGCCACAAATGCACTAAATATTGTGTTACTTGAGTGTTATGCCATATGATAAGATTCATAAGTTTTTTTTTACTTATGAAGATAACATTCATAAGTTGCTTGAGTTTTATATTACATAATCCCCCCGCCCCGAATGAAGGTTCCACTTGCAGATGTTTGATTGACATTATTTTCAATTCAACTTATTGAAAATTAGTGTAGAATTAAAAAATAAAAATTATATATTTAAAAACTACTCCGGGGTACATCAAAAGTTCTATAAAATAAAAGTTGTCTTAGTTGTTTAATTTTATCAAATTATCATTGAAAATATGTAACAAATGAATATATAATATGACGTGGGATGGAGGGAGTGGCACTTTATTTCTAAAAACATAGATCACATGGATTCATGTTTCTGGGCTGGAGCGGTGAAGGTATGGTGTCCAATGTTTGGCGGGGGCCGGGGAGGCTTTAGATGACTTGTGATGGTATTCGATACCTCTTTTAGATGAATTTTTTTTTGGACGGTCTGAAACATTTACTCCTATATATCAGGTTCAAGGTATGATAAATAAGTAAGAGTTGCTAATAATAATATCACGCTCACTGTGCTTTCTCCTTACATAGAACAAGTGAGGAACTTCTTTGGACATCTAATGGTGTGATACATAAATTCTTGCATGTGCCCTAATCTTTAAATGCTCGTCTTACATTCTCCTGCCTTTAACATTGTGGAGTTGTCAGTTAATTGACAAAACAGCTGTTTCATCACAAAAAAGGCATTCAGCAAAATAAATGGTCTGACAAAATACACCAGCAAGTATTTTGTAACATATTCTCCATTGTTAAATGTTCCTCAAACCTACTTTCGTGGGATTCAATTGGTTGTTGTTGTATTCTCCATTGTTAAATGTGACACATAAAAGTTGCAGCTTGTTATGTTTAATTTTCAGCGTTTGTTGGGGTGGAGTCTTTGTTTTTATTTAAAAATTAAATTTTCTAAAAAACTTTCCATCCAAACAGAGCTTTAGTGTGCTGATATCACCTTTGGTATCTTCCTTGTCAAGATTAGTTTATTTGAACTCTCTCTTCCCAAGATCTGATGTCTACATTTAATGGCAGTTTAGATTGCTGAGCAACAATATGCACACTAATGAATTGTAGGTTCACAAGTTGAGAACATAATGCAATTGCTTACCAAACCTGAGTCTGTTGCACCTATTTTGTTTATCTTACAACAAAATATTTCTAATTGATAGTCTGCCGCACTAAAGGAAGCTATAGATGATCTTGAATGGCCCGGGTCAAGCATTCTGCTAACCCTGCAACCAACCCCGCCATCTGTTACCTTCAAAGGCCAAGGCCATGGTGACTTACAGGTAACTGATCTCAGAATATGAGAAGACTTAAAACCTTACTTCATTATTCATCTTACATGAAACCTTTGCAGATAGACTTTATCCACCGCACGACTTCTGATCTTGTTGCATTTCATTGCGATCGCCTTGTCTCATACAGGTCAAACATGTGTCCCAATTTTGTTGAGTCGTTTTTGAGAATGGTGGGTGTTAATTCCTGACCCAGTTGTTGTGCTAATAGGTACAAGTACAAATTCCTTCAGGCGACAACTTCGAACATGCCTAGTAGTGTCATGAGGGATAACAGAGGAAGCAAGTGTACAATTGGCAGAAGTGGAATGCTCAAAGTTCAGCATCTCGCCTCACTTGCTAGACCAGCAGCTTCACACCCCCACTCTGATTCTTCTGCATATCATCTCCCCAGCCGTATTGCGTATATTGAGTTCTTTGTCAAGCCAGAGGTGGATGATGATGACGACGACGAGGAACACAATGCAAACTAATACTTAGGATGCGTTTTATCCCAAGCGGCTATGCTACTTATGAGAGGGTATGGTTTAGATAGTTGTCTAATATCTACATTGTAAATAGTACTTGATTCGATATTTTTAGTGATCAAAACCTCAATCTAAATCCTAGTAGGGTAATATTATACGGAGTTTGAAAAAGAAACAGTAAAAAACCTGAACGGTAAACCGGACCGGGCTCGATGGTTTTAACCGAAAACGAGTGAATTGGTTGGTTTTTTTCTCTCTAGTTTTTCTTTTTATTACCATGTCTTTATTTAAAGAGTAATTTACCTAAATGAGACTAAAACATAATGACTTTCTCAATATAAGATCATATGTTTTTATTTTACAAAGTAGGACCATTGGTTATTATCTATTAGTCATTATTCAACTAAATGTCCAGCATTACTTGGACATTATTCTTCTCACTAGTCATTATTAACTCCTATTTAGGAAATAAAAAAGTTTAAGTCCTACATTAAGAAACGACTTTTTAAACTACTTAGTGTGTAACTAATATTGTGAAAGAAAGGTAGTGGTTACTAGCTAGACTGATTGAATGTGATAATTTTTCGAATGCAATCTGCCAGGTTATTGTAGCTTGTTCATGATCCAGGGCATACAATAAATGAGTCATCCATCACATTATTTTTTATTCCTTATTACTTTTTTTAGGTTTAAATATACTTTTGATCCCTGTAAATATTTTTTCTTTTAGTACTAAAATATATTTTAATAAAATCATCCCTGCAAAATATTTATTTTTGCAAATGATCTTTCCATCAACTTAGAATTATTTTGTCGGGGTCTAAAGGGAACAAAAAAAATTACCTTGGATTTAAAATATTTTAGAGAGACTAAAAATAAAATCGATGATTTTCTAGGGACTAAAAACAAATTAAACACTAAGTTAAAATATATAGCGAAAGGACTATTTGCAAAACAAATATACTCTCTCCTTCTCATATTTTTTCTGCGTTTGACTTTTCATGGTCTCAAGTGTAATACTTTGACTATTAATATTTCTATTTATATACGGAGTATATGATATATATATATATCAAAACTTCATGTTAAAATAAATCAATTAATATTAAATTTAAATCACAATTCCTTATACATTTTCTACAACTTTTTGCTCAAAGTTAAAAAAAAATGATTGCCAGTCATAACGAGAAAAATGATACGCGATGGAAGGTATATTTTACGGGGATGATTTAATTAAAAAATATTTTAGATAGACTAAAAGCAAAATATGCTAAATTTATAAAGACCAAAAACATATTTAACCGTTTTTTATTATTAGAGCACTGGTAATACCCCTCACGCCCACCGGCGTTACGGGGCGTTTAATGCCCCGGGGGCGTGAAACACCGCCCCCCGCCGGCGTGAAAAGGGCGTGAGGGCGCCTGCGTCAAACGAATGACGCGGCGTGAGGGCCGTTTGTTGAACGCGAAGTTCCTTGGTTCAACCAACGGTTTGATGCGAGAGGCCGACGCGGGTTTAGTAGCGTCCAAAAGTGCACTGCCGCGCTTCGTCAGTTGGCGTAC